ACTCGTGTTGTAAGTAAAAAAATTTTTGTTTTCCCTGTATATATTTTCTTTTAAATTTTTAGGGTGGTTTTTTATTAGAATATTCACTTGGAAATTGTTAGTTAGGGGTTTTTTGGGTCGCTGATTTTTCGACTTTCAACTCTCATTTTATAAACAACCTATATGTTAAATTGATTAATTGGTAATCAACGACCCTAAAAACCCCATGTAACAAGTTTCAAGCGAATCTTATGATTTTTTAAAATTTTTGGTTGTCATATCGACGCCTCCCATTCATATAATCGTACTTCAAATGTCAAAGCTATATAATCAAAATCTGAGATGCGATTACATTAACTGGAAATTGAGATACGATTTTATTATTCGGAAAGTGAGCTACGTTCATATTAAACTAAGCTCCGAGTTACGATTATATAATTTTGACATTTGAAGTACGACTATATGAAAGGGAGGCGTCGATATTGTATCCACCATTTTAGATTTTTTAAATCTGACTTTAAATTCGTAATCAGCGACCCAAAAAACCCCCGAGTAACAATTTCCAAGTGAATCTGAGGATTTTTTAAATTTTCGGTCGCCATATTGGATCCGCCATTTTTAGTTTTTCAAATCTGACTTTAGATTCGCATTCAGCGACCCCAAAACCCTTGAGTAACCATTTTCAAACAAATCTAAATGATTTAAACAATTTTTGAAAAAAGCATCCGCCATATTGGATCTGACATTTTGAAATTTGTAAATCTGACATTTTATGCTTCTTATTTGTAATCAAGGAACATAAATACATGAAATTTTGTAGGTTTAGAAGTAATTGATGGGTTTTTAAGATTTTTATCGACGATATTATTGAATTATTTTTTATTTTCGGGTATTATATCTAACGTATAGGGCCGCCATTTTGAAATTTTTGAAATCGCCATTTTGCATTTAAAAGTACTTGTCAGTACGAACATTTTGAGCCCTATAAGACCTTATTCTGTTGCGCTCAATTTTGGGACTGTAAATGATCCGGTTGTCGTGGAATATCCCATATATACATATTTAAATGACCAAATATGTATATTTTCTGTAGTATTAATATTTTTTTATTTATTTTTGTTTTCAGCGGCCTATGGTGGGCGTTCTTCTGTTGTGGAGTCCGCCTTTTAAAAATATGATGAGGAACGAGTTCTTCGTCAATAAAAAATATGATTGTTAGGATTTTTAACATCTATGCTGGCTAAAAGAATTATGTTGTGGGCAGAAAATAATAATTTGATTCCTGAAGAACAAGCAGGTTTTAGAAACAAAAGAGGTACTCAAGACCACTTATTCACACTGGCTTCAGTTCTAAATATTCATGCTGGTACGAGTAAAAAATGCGCATTTATGATCTTCGTTGATCTTAAGAGGGCATTTGATTCGGTCAAGCATAGCATTATGTGGGATAAACTATTTCACTTGGGACTCAGCGGTAAAATTATACGAATTTTAAGATAAATGTACAACAATGCCAAATTAACAGTCAAATGTAAAAATAATTATACTCGTCTAATTGATATAACGGAGGGCGTCCTGCAAGGTGACAGCTTGAGCCCCTTGTTGTTTATTTTATTTGTATGTGACATAATAATGTTTTTTAAAGAAAATGGATATAATTAGATATAATAATGCTTCTCTTCGCAGATTATATAGTAATGTTTGCCAGATCTTGGCATGATGCACAAAATATTAAAAAAATACTGTGATTTGAATGGACTAAATGTAAATACACTTAAAACTAAGGTAGTGCCAATACGTAAAACCGGAAAATGTAAAAATTTAAAACCACTTTTATGGGGTAAAGAAGAATTATCTTATGATAACACTTATACCTATCTTGGTGTACCATTTTCATGTTCGGGAAAATTTAGAAAAGCGACCGAAACTTTTGTAAGTAGGGGTTCGGCAGCCTGCTCCAGAGCGCGAAAAATTTTATTTAGTAGTAAAAACGAATCATGGGAGGCAACAGTTGATATACTCCAAGCAATAGTAAATGCCAGTGCTTTATATGGATCTGAAATGTGCGCCTTAAGATATTTTGATCAAATTGAATGTGTTCAAACTCAGTTCTTTAAATATTTGTATAGATGGCCAAAAAACACTCCAAACTATCTTGTTTGGTGGGAGACAGGTGCCGACCCCTTACAACTATTAGTAATTAAACGTGCCCTTGCGTGGTGGAAAAAAAATGTTGCTTATGCCGGAATTTAGATTGCCAAAAAAATGTTATAATTGTTTGGTAGACCTTGAAAGTCGACACAAGATAAAACCGTGCTATAACTGGGCAAGCCAAATCAAGGGAATAATCGAGTTAGGGGGAGATCAGACATTATGGTCACAACAGAATGTACTGTCAAGTGGGGAGATTGCAGAGAGATGTAAGAGCATAGTCAATGTCTGGAAGTTTGAATTGAAAAATAATTGTTTAACTAGAATATTGAATAGTAATTACAATTTTTTATACAAAAGTATTTGCAGTAATAATAAAGAAACACAAAATTATTTAAAATTTAAAGTAGAATTAAGTAAAATTAGAGTAGTAAGCCAACTAAGATTTACAAATAAATCTAGATTAAAAATTTGTTACAATGAAAATATATATATAATTGACACCGATGTGAACTGCACTCTCTGCAATCTGCACACTCAAGAAACATTGGCACATTTTCTATTATATAGTCCAATATACAATCCAATAAGAAGCAAATGTATAGGAAAATATATTGACAAGAATGTGTGTATGAACGTTAAGGAAAATAATCAATTGAAATCACTACTGCTAATCGAAGATATAAGAAAATTAAATAGCATATTTTATTATGTGATTAACGCGCTCAAAATTAGATCATTTATAATTAATGAATAATAAGGTTTAATCAATGATTTAAGCTATACTGAAAGTTACTTGTAAAAGAGAAATTAATACAAATAAAGATTTATCTATCTATCTATCTATCTATCTATCTATATTTCGTTATTTAGATTTTGATAGTTTTGTATTTTTTTCTCCTTTTATTAAATTTTAAGAAGAAAATATATATATTTCCACTTTGATATTAAATTTTTAAAAATTTATTCAATTATATTGCTCTAATATCCATTCATCAGCAGTTAATTCTAGAATCCAACGATATGATCTGCTATTTGTTATATTTAGGTTTGCTAGCCAATCAAATGCATCATGTCTATGGGGTAATAAAATAGAGTTTTCTCCTATATATTCATTGAATCTTCTTCTTGCGTGAACTAGAGTTAAACAAACCTTTTCGTGATATCTATAATTTTTCTCTATTGGTTGAAAAGTTCGAGACGAGGTTGTTATATATTTTATCTCATTATCTTTATATTCAGCAAGGATTGTTCGAAATTTTTCTTTAAAAATTTGAAAATATAATATTAATTGTCCTGAATATATTGGGTAAGTTATTATTTCTGGAATTTCAGTTTCAATCTCCTTATCTATGAAGCATCAATTTTGTCGACAAAAAATTTATATTGAGCTGCTTGAATAGTAATTCCATTTTCGGAAAAGATATTAAATGCGGTTTTATAGTATTTTGATGTTTTTTTAGATTTTTACTTGTAATAAAAATTCCTTAAGGGAAAAAGATTATATCTTTTCTATGCGTAGAAGGAAATACAATTTCTAACAATTTTAAAAAGGTTTTCTCCGCATTTTTAATTGATGGTGCTAAACGGGTGAATTTATATGTTCCTACTGGTGTAATAAATGATGTTTTGTCTGTGTCCGATGGATTTATTTCTATTCGAGAGTATAGGTCCATTAAGTCAATAATTGATATTTTCTTTGCATCATTTATTTTTATTCTAATGTCTTCGATTGTTGTTTGTTGTGAAATAGTATCACGTATTAGTAAATTTAATGTTGTGAAATCTGTCCCAAATTTGTAAGTAAGTCGTTGTGTATGAGGTATCCATACTAGTCTCACAGAAACTTTATTGTTATAAGGTGATGTTGATTTTTCAAAATTTTTTGCATATAACAAGTGATCGATTTGTTCTAAAAGATCTAAATGAAAATGATTAATAGTGTCAATATAGTGCTGAATTTGAGGAAAAGTTTCAAATTTAAAAAAAAAGTTTACAAATTCAACTTCCTTGGAACTCAACTTTTCTGTTTCTAATTCTTCAAATATTCGTGTATATTCCTCATTACAAATTAGATGATTTTCCTCCATTGTAACCTGAAAATAATAACAGTGGTGGAAAAAATGGTATTTTATTCTTTAATTTTCGTCGCTGGGAATATAGCTTCAATTGACTTTTTCTATGTCTAGAAGCCATTGCATGTGTTTAAAACATTTTGATATAGTTTCTAACCATTCTAAACTATTTCTTCCGCCATAACAAAGGATAGAATTGTTAGTAATGAATCCTTTAAATCTTCTTATAGAGTGTATAATTGCAAGGCTAATTTTATCGTGATAACCATAGAATTGTTCCTGTCCGTTATATGTGCTAGATAAATTACTTAAAGGTGTTGTTCAATGATGTGCGATGATTAAATCGTCTTATTTAAAATAACGCTGATGAGCATTTCCACAGGAACCATTTTAAAATAAAAGTCAAAAAAAGAATTACACAAGTTTAAAATAATAAAATTTTATTAATTCACAATAACACTCAGTTATAGAACGTGAGATCACAAAATAAAAATATTTAATGAGCACGATAGCTCTTTGCGAAAAATAGCGAAATCTGAACAAAATCGTTCGCGAACGTGCTCGACCATACGAGATACAAAAGATTTCTGAAAGTAGCCGAAGAGCGACTCCGGCGGAGAACGAAACAACTTTCGATCTATCGAAGTATCGTTCGATAGATAGAGCGGTCATTTAAATTATAATAAATTTCTTATGTGAATTCTTTAACATTACCGCCCCCCTTGAACTCTCTGTAGTTCAAAAGTTGTAACGTAGTTTAATCATAATAATTAAACAATGTAAAAGAAAATACAATTATTCATTTTCATGTTTTATAGGTAACAAAATCAATTTCGCAATAGGTCTAACATAGGTGCTTGACGCAGTTTTAATTGTGGCGACACTAACAAGAGTTAGTATACGTAGATCTGTCGGATCGTCGGTAAGAGGATTTATTGGTCTCGAATTCGAGCACATTTCAATTTGGCAAAGCAAAGTATTTAATTCCTCAAAATGAGGAGTTCGATCTTTTAAAACCCTTCTCAAATGATATTTAACACTACGAACGCCGGATTCCCAAATCCCACCAAAATGCAACGCAGCTGGAGGAATGAATTCCCATCGAATTTTATCATTAATTACATATGATTGTATTTCAGCCGATTTAACGACCGATTTAAAAACTTCATCAAGTTCACGTTGAGCACCCTTGAAATTAGTTCCATTGTCACTGTAAATGACTTGGGGTAATCCACGACGACTTACGAAACGCTTTAAAGTCGCAATAAAAGCTTCTGACGTATAATCACTGACAATCTCTAAGTGGATTGCTCGAACAGCAAAACAAATAAATACGGCGATATAAGCCATATGAGACGAATGTCCACGACCCTTTTGTGATTTTAATTTAATAGGACCAACGTAGTCCACTCCGACGTGTAAAAAGGGCCTTAAAGGACGCGAAACACGATTAATCGGCAATGATCCCATTAACTGTTCAGCAACCGTTGCTTTAAGACGAACACATGTAACGCAATTATAAATTACCGATTTAATGACTTGACGCGATCGTAAAATCCAAAAGAATTGTCGAATTTGATTTAACGTGAGTTGAGTAGCACCGTGTAAACATTTTTCATGAAAATATCGAATAATCATAACAATGAGTGGATGTTTTTTAAGAATCGCAGGATGACGTCTATCATATTCTAATGGAGCATTCAAGAGTCGTCCTCCAACACGTAAAACATTTTTGTCATCAAGAAACGGGTTTAAATTCAAAAGTCCACTTGATTTAGGTAGTGGTTTATTTTCTTTTAATAATTTAATTTCATTCGGAAATAAACGTATTTGAATCAATTGAACAATAACCAACTGACTATCGTGGCAAAATTCCACAAATGAAGGCATATCAATCAATTCACGATTTCGAATTATTAATTTTGTTTTTAACCATAAAAATTTTTAAATAAATGCAACAATTTTTAGAAGAATTTTCCATTCAGAAATTTTAGCGATTAGGTTATCAAACCACATAGGTGTATCTTCAATAACGTGAGTAACGTGAACACGAGCTTCGAGATCAGTATTTGTGTCTTTAACTTCTTGAAAAGAAGGCCATGAATTTTCTGGATCCGATAACCATTGAGGACCTCTCCACCACAACTCACTATTACGAAAATGAGACGCTTGAATTCCTCTTGAGCCAAAATCAGCTGGGTTTTCCTCTGAATTAATGTGTGCGTCGCCATTTTTCAAAAGAAGCGATTGATTGAATGGCTGCAACGCGATTGGCCACGAATGTTTTCCATTCGGATGAGTGTTTTTTCAACCACGCGAGCACTATCGTGGAATCAGTCCAATATGTAGAAGTCAAATTTGAAAAAACTGATATATCTTTTATTGCGGATACGAGTTGAGCCAAAAGTAATGCTCCACAAAGTTCAAGTCGCGGCACCGAAAGCACCTTTATTGGAGCTACCTTTGTCTTATTCGATAGAAGAGTTGTTCGAATTTCACCAGATTTAAAAACCAATCGAATGTAAACTACGGCAGCGTAAGCCACATTAGAGGCATCGGAAAATCCGTGAATAGAAGATTCGACTTCCGTTTCACCTTGTCCAGTCCATCGCGGTATTGACTTGTAAATTTTGAGGTAATTCTTCATCCCAATTTACTGACTTCAGCCATAATTTTTGCATAAATATTTTCGCAGTAACTATAACGGGAGAAACTAAACCCATTGGGTCGTAAAATCGTGCGATCAAAGAAAGAATTCCTCGTTTTGTCATGTTTGGTATTGAAGGTAATTGTATTTTGAACTGATAAATGTCCTGAGCGGGGACCCAAACAATTCCAAGAATTTTCAATGAGTCATCCTCACTTAGAGGTTTTTCAAGTGCATGACCATGATCTGATGGATCAATATCTTCAAGTAATGATAAAGAGTTACTTGCCCACTTCCTCAAACGGAATTTACCTTTTTCAAGAAGTGCTATCACTTCATTTCGAGTTTCAATAATATCCTTCTTAGAATCTCCTCCTAAAAGACAATCATCGATGTAAATCTGATTTTTGAGAACAAATGAACCTAATGGAAATGACTCACCTTCGTCTACTACCAATTGTTGCAAAACTCTCAACGCTAAATAAGGAGCAGCAGCAGTACCATAAGTTACAGTATTTAAACGAAATTCTAATATTTGTTTTAAGGATGAATCATACCACAGAATTCTTTGATAGTTACGGTCTTTCTCGTCGATTAAAATTTGTCGATACATCTGAGCAATATCTGACGCGTAAACGTATCGAAATGTCCTCCAAAGTAAAATAATTGTGAATATGTTGCCTTGCAATTTTGGACCGATATTCATATGTTCATTAAGGCTTGTCGAATTAGATGTTTTAGACGAAGCGTTAAAAACAACACGAAGCTTCGTTGTTGAGCTCGGCTCTCTAATTATAGGATGATGTGGTATGTAAACAACTTGTGATTGGTCAGTACTCTCCCTAGAAACACGAGTCATGTGATCTTGATCTTCATAATCAGTTATAAATGTTTTATACTGATCGGCTATATCTGGTAATTTTTCAAAAGTTTTTGATAAATGCGATAATGATTTTTCTGCAAATTTGAGAGAATTTCCAATATTAATCGGTGTGCCAGATTTAAAAGGATATCTGACTTTATATCGACCGTTATCTAAACGCGAGTGAGTTGAACTAAAATAGGATTCACAATCCTGTTCCGATTCAGTAAGATTTGAAACTCGAGGGACTTCTTCAATCTCCCAAAAATGCTGAACCGTTTTGCTCAGACTTTCATTCGAAATACAAAAACACGATGTCGCAAAATCTTCTAACTGATCTGATTGATTTAACTCAACATTTCCGGAAAGAATCCATCCGAAAATAGTATTTTGCGCTATTGGTTCATTGATTTTACCTTTTTTCAGACCATCACGAATAATTAATCCGTACAAATCTGCCCCGATTAAAAGGTGAATAGACTTGGATGATGTTGACAACTCATCATCAGCCAAATCAACTCCTCTCAAATAAGGTTTTTCTAAAATTTTACTATCAACCGTACACGGAGAGAAATATCATACTATATTCACATGAGCCACTGTTGCTTTTTTCACATAACACTATTTCATGTAAAAATCGTTTATCACGCAAGATATTTTTTCATGAAATCTTGTGTTTATTGCATGAATAAACGTTGTGTGAAATTAGAAAGACATGTATACTAATTCTGATTGATCTGTAAACTATAAACACTTAAGAAACATGATAAAATTGCCTTCCTTCTCTCTATATAAAATTTGCTTGAAATCCATGCGCTTTTCGGATGGATTTCTTACAACGGAGATAGAAATGCTAGTGCGCATGCGTGACTCCCGTTCACGTGTCTAGTCATATATATATAGTCACGCATGCGCACTATCATTTCTATCTCCGTTGCAAGAAATCCATCCGAAAAGCGCATGGATTTCAAGCAAATTTCGCATTGAGTGGAGGGGAGTATTTACGACATGGACTTGAAGCAAATATAGTACATGTTCCAAACTTTTCTTGCATAGAAATCTACGACCCAATAAACACATGAATTTTGTGAAAAAAAAACACGTCACAGGTGATGTGAATAATGAGTGACACAACCCATGTGAATATAGTATGATTTTTCTCTCCGTGTAGGAACGTATTTAGTAATTTGTTTTACTATTAAAGCATTCGAATTAATTAAGGGGCTCTTATTTTCTTTTGAACCGAGCGAAATGAAAGCAAGACCCGACGAAATTCCTGCATTAACATCACCAACCCCTTTAAGCTGGATATTGGATCGAACTGGACGAATTTGTAAAGCATTTGCTAGTTCTTCCGAAATAAATGTCCAGGTTGATCCTTGATCCACTAATGCCCAAACTTTAATTGAACGTCCCTTTTTAGAAGTAACAATAACCTGAGCGGTGGCCAAAAGAATTCGATGAGACCTTACTCCTCCAGGAGTCGCATGAAAAGATTGTGCAACCGAAACATTTTCTTTATTTTCAGATGGCAATTCGGAGGATGATGACTTATCTTGAGTTGACTTTGCTTCGTCAGATTTTACATTATTTTTGAAATGCAATAATGTATGATGTTTTGCTTGACATTGTCCACAAGTATACGTACTTGTACATTTACTTACTGAATGACCTTGACCGAAACAATTTAAACATAAATTTTTCGACTTCACAAATTTGAATCGCTTTTCAGCAGAAATATTTTTAAATTCTGAAGATTTAAACAATTTATGCGCTTATTTACAGAAAGGGCAACTATTATTATTATTATTCGAAACCACATGAGATCGTGCAATTTCAGTTTTCAATTTATTTTCTTCTTTACTTTGAATCGCTTCTAAAGCTCTAATACGTGAATCTAAAAAATTTAAAAGAATTGAAAAATGAGGGTAATCAGTCGAATTTCCTAGAAATAATTCCCAGGCCATGCGTGTGTTAACATCTAATTTTTGCAAAACATAAAAAACTAAAATATCGCTAACTCCATCACAATGTTTGCTATCTTGTTCAACTGTCAAACCTGAAAAACGATTTAAATTCTCTAATGCCGCAATTTTTTCTGTCACAATATTTCGAATATTTTTAAGCGATGAAAACGATTCATTTTTCATGGGTTGAATTGAAAATAACACTTTTAATTCAGCTTGAATGATCGCGCGAGGATTTTCATATCTATTTTTAAGACGATCCCATGCAGAAACAAAATTATTTTCAATTAATGGAATATTTTTCAATAATAATAAGGCTTTGCCTTCAACAAATGACTTTAAAAAATGAAATCTTTGTAAATTGTCAAGTGACTGATTTTGAATTATTAATGAAATAAAATAATCACGAAAAGTTGCCCAATCTGTTGGCTTAACAGAAAACTTTGGAATATTAATTCTTGGTAACGGTGTTGACAGGTGTGCAGGAGTCGATGATGACGTTGAAGCTGTAGGTGCACGAGACAAAATCAATTCTTGTTCCAAACAAGTAACATCCTTCATAATGACATCGTTAAAATTTAAAAAATATTCCTCAGCTTCCTCAAATTTTCCATCGATAAAATAAGAATTACTCATATCCTTTTTGACGTTTTGAATCTGCGACTCAGTTGCAATGCACACTTCCCATACTTGAGAAATAAGCCTCAATCGATTATTCAAGGCAGCGAAGGTTATGTCACTACCGGTGACAGCATGTTTTGCCGAATTGCAATGACGTTATAAAGTTTCAAAGCTGCTGATCAATCAGCTGTTGTAATGTCAATTGTTCCGAAAATTTCATGATTGTAGATTTTCAACTACACGAGGACAAAAGATTAAAAAATCCCGTAGATTATTTTTCACCACCCAGTGTTTCAAAAACAAATTGATAAATGTTCAATAAAAGAAAATGATCGATTGTAATATATCAGATCGAATATACTGTCAAACTATGCGCATCACGATCGCGCATCAATAACAATGGCTGACAATCAGCGCTTACACCGGTGGAAAATTGCACACGATTGCGCAATATTTCGAAAATTTGCACGACACAACAAACAAAACAATTAAATGTTCCAACAGTTTTTTCCGAAAAAGGTTCAACAATTTTGATCATTGAGATCAGAATATTCACTAAAAACGTAAGAATGCGAAACTCGCGAAAGTCGAACTTTTCAATCACTTAAAATGTTCCACTGGATCCTCGCAGGATCGCCAAATAATGTTCAATGATGTGCGATGATTAAATTGTCTTATTTAAAATAACGCTGATGAGCATTTCCACAGGAACCATTTTAAAATAAAAGTCAAAAAAAGAATTACACAAGTTTAAAATAATAACATTTTATTAATTCACAATATCACTCAGTTATAGAACGTGAGATCACAAAATAAAAATATTTAATGAGCACGATAGTTCTTTGCGAAAAATAGCGAAATTTGAACAAAATCGTTCGCGAACGTGCTCGACCATACGAGATACAAAAGATTTCTGAAAGTAGCCGAAGAGCGCCTCCGGCGGAGAACGAAACAACTTTCGATCTATCGAAGTATCGTTCGATAGATAGAGCGGTCATTTAAATTATAATAAATTTTTTATGTGAATTCTTTAACAGGTGTAATATGAGTTTAATGGTATTCAGAAAGAATGGTGTCGAATCCTGTTTCTTTCATTACTAATTGAAGTAATATTTTACCTGTATAGGTTTGGGGTTCATACACAAAATTTTGTATTCCCCTAGATTGGTTTACAAATTCAAAGCAATCAACAATAGATCGAAGTAGTTTGAGTTTACTAGGGTTAATTGTAATAACGTGATATAATAGAGTATAAAAAGTATTAGTAAGTATTTTCTTGTGTTCAATTAAGCTCGGGCTAGCTATTATTATTCCAAGTGGGAGAAAAACAATGTTTTCATCTTTCCATCTTGGGAACAGTCGTCGCAGCAAATTAATAAATGTTACTTGAGATCCTTTTATCGAAGGTAAAAGTGATGTAAATTGATATTTTCCAACTGGTGTAGTAAATGCTGTTTTTGGTGCGTCTTCTGGATGAAGAAGTATTCGACCGTATAGCTCTTCTAAATTTATAATTGAGAAATATAAATTTTTACTAAGTAATCCCCGTATTTTAGAAAGTTTTTGAAAAGCAGGTTCTATTGAAATAATTTTCCGATTGAGTGATGTAAGGGGTACAGTTATTCGCCATTGTGGTTCTTTTGTAAGTGATAATCTTTGTCGGGAAACAATAATTTCATTGTTGTATTTTGAATCAGATGGTATAATTGTTCCTATAGATAATAATGTAGTAATTTGAGAAAATATATTTTCTTGTTGTTGGGCAGAAAAATCTGTAATTTTTTTATAAGATTTTTTTATTAATTTTTCATTTTTGGTTGTTATTTTATATTCTTCAATTGGTCTAGTAATAGTATTTGTGAAAATATAACAATTATTTGTAGCACGATTTTTATTTCTTCTGTATCGAGTTCTTCGAGTTCCAATAACTCGTAGATTTTTAAATGTCCGGGGGTTATTTCGTCATCAAGATATTGGTTGTTCATATTGTAGCTGGAAATAGAACAGATATCTATTTTTCATAATAAAAATTTCGTTTGCTTATTTTTATGGATTTTAGTTGGTTAGTAAAAATAATAATATTTTCATACCAGAATATTATTTATTCTTCTTTTATTGAAGAATTTTGCTTCCAAGCTGATTAAGCAATTATCAGTGTTAGAGTTCTAAAAATTTTCTCTAACATCTGAATCTGCTCAAACAGAGTAGGAGTTATTATTTTATTCATAGGCTATCTTGATTTTGTCCATATGTTTTTGAAATCGTTGACCATCTTCTCCTTCAAGTATGACATTATGCATGTTGGTTATGTTAATAATTCTGTAAGGGCCATGGTATGGCTTTTCAAAATTACTGGTTCTAGGTTCTTTTTGAATATAAGCTAAATCCCCAATTTTAGCTTGAAATTCCTTGCAACTTTTATCATAGTTTAGTTTAGAACGACCTTTGGCTTGAAGTAAATTTTAAGCAGCTAATATTTTTATTTTATTAAGTCGTGTTAGTAATTCTCGTAGATAAGTTCCATAGGTAACTAATTTTTCATCTTGAGAAAATGCAGTTGGTGCACGAGCAATTTTTCCAAATACTAATTCATAGGGGGTCAAATTTGTACCTTCATGAACAGAGGTATTGTAGGAAAACATTGCAAATAGTATTAAACGATCTCAATCGTCAAAATGTTTTGCATAGTGTTTTATAAATTCCATTAAGACTGTATGGCTTCGTTTTAATGACCCGTTGGTTTGAGGGCGATATCCAGAAGTGGTTAGTTGTTTTACTCCAAATATTCGACATAAGTTACTCATTAATTTACTTACAAAACTACCACCTCTATCGGTTAATATTGCGCGAGAGGCACCAAATTGTGAGAAAAGGTTTCTTGCTATTGCATGTGCAATTGTAGTAGTGGAAATATCTGGTACGGGTACAGCAATACAATATTTGGATAGATTATCTTGAATCGTTAAAATGTATTTATTGCCATCAGGGGTAGTTGGAAGTTTACCTACGGTATCGAGAGAAACTTTATCAATAGTATCTATCGGCGTATCAGTAATAAGCATAGGTTCTCTTATTCTAGATCTAACTACCTTTTGTTCCTGACATCTTTTGCAATGTCTAATGAAATCAGTGACGTCATTTCTCATTCCTGACCAAACAAAACGTTCTTTAATTCTTCGATATGTTTTGGTTATACCTTTATGACCTCCTATAAGACTTTTATGCATTTCAGAAATTATTTTTAAACGGTCTTGTAAAGGTGGAATCAAAACATTACTATAACATAGGGTTATGGTTACAATATCCAAATAGAAAATTCTGGTTAGAACTTCGGAAAATTGAGTTGGTCCTAGAGAATCCAAATATTTTGCTAATAAAGAAAATCGTAGTGTTTTTATTGCTTCTTCTATTAATATTTTCTGTAAATTTTTGAGGCAAATTTCGAGATTAGTTTTACTTAAGTTATCGGAATGTTTATTTTTAACTATAATTGTAAATATTTTATAACTTCCATAAGAAGTAATCAAAATTTGACCTAATTTTGGATTTTGTAGTTTTATTTCTTTAGGATCTATGATTCCTAGATCAACGAATAGTTTATCTATTGATGTAAGAAATTTGCAATTTGCAGAAATAAAGTGTAGGTAACTATCGCGCTTATAAGTGAGGTTTTCTCTACAACTTTGAATATTTAAATTTCGAACATATAATCCTTTTACTGAATTTTGCAGATCGTTTTCTAAAATTGGTTTGGTTGGTTTATCTATAGATTCCTGAAATGTAGTAGGGTAAAAAGCTGTGTTTTCTTGTATATTGAGATGAGTTGTATCATTCGTGTTTTGTTTATCTACGTGTTTTATTTGTTGTTCATTTTCCTTTGGTTTCATTATAGTCAAATTTTCTTCGTTTTCTTCTTGAATAGTTTCCGGAAAAATTCTTTGACGTACAGATGGTGTAAATCTGGCCTTTGGTTGTATTGTTGTCAGTGGAGTGGTTAAGCTTTGTAATGGCAAAGGGGTTGATGTGATTTGCGGGTTGAAAGGTATTATTGAATTTTCTTCTTCATTCATTTCTTCTTTTTCTTTATCTATATTTAATGTTGTTAGTCCAGTTTGTTTTTGAGTATGTTCGATAAGTTTTTCAATTCGACTTTCTAATTCGTGATCTTCATTTTCTGTGTCATAAGGATCTAAATTTTTAAGAGTTTTTAACAGTTCTTCATCTGACTCTCCTTCAGATATTCTTTTAAGAGAAATAGTATCTTCTTCTTGTGAAAATTTATCTTCGCGTTCTTTTAGAGATTGATTAAATTTTTCAAATGATTTTTGTTATTCTTCTCTTATTTGTTGACGTGTACTATCTAAAGAGGATTCGTTAAGTTGAAAATCATCATTTTCACTGTTAGTACCTGATTCATCCTGCGGAGGTCCTTCTAAGGAGATTGGAACAATCGATTGATCGGTGATTGGCTCGTTATCGTCCTGACTTTGTTCTGATTCCATTTCTTGAAAAGAAGGTTCTATAGTATTAAGAGCGGGTGCGCTCTTAAGTGGAGTAGGAAATTTTGCGGAATCTGCGGTTATATCTATACTAGAAAAAATACTTTTTCTTCTTTTCCAAATAGGAATATGTAAACTGGTTGATTCTTCTTCATTTAGGTCAGATTCTTCTGTTTCCTTAGCAGCACTTTCACTTTCTGTGTCGTCTAGTTCTTTTAAGAAAATGTTCTCTTTTGCTTTACGTGGATGGTGTCTTTTAGCAATTTAACTAACATTTTGTTCATCAGGTAATTTTGTTGATGAAATAGAAGTGATTTTTGATCTTGATCTTAATCGACTTGTCATGGATCTTTTGGCTAGATCTTGAAAAGTTTGATAATCAGGGGTAGATTTGGAAAAAAAAAATTCGTAATCTCTTAATTTTAATCTCCAACGAACTAGTCTTTGACCAGGGTCTTTTATACTATCAATCCAACGCAAGGGTTCATGATCACTTACTAGTAAAAATTCTCGTCC